GGATTGGAACTGCAAAATAACTATTTAATTCGAAGAAGAGTTATTAATGGGCATTGGTGGAAATATCGAAAGAAATTATGGAAAAATAAGGGTTTTCTACTAACTCGAATTGTATTTGAGTACCGAACGAACTCTACCTCAAGTGAAACGGCGCAAGCAACAAAACTCATGAGCAAAGCTCATGAATCACGTCAAATTTCAGCAATCCAGCATTGTTTAGACTTCTAAAAGTTCGAAAATGTTATTTTAGGTAAGTTTTAGAAAATTAATATCAAATCATAGAAAAATCTTATTAGGATTCCGTAAATTGGGTTGTTCCCAAAATTACGAGATCTACTAGAATCATGATCTAACTTGTTTTTGCCGTTTTTTGGTAATTTTTATTATTTTCCTAGTTTAATTAGGGTTTTCAGTTTTTTAGTATAAATAGCTGCCTTAGGACTTTATTTTGAGAAGAATTTCGAATTGTAATAAAATATTTAGAGTTTTCTCTATTTTACTGGTGGATTCCAAAGTTTTCGGTGGATTCCGAATGTTATTTTATTTTATAGGATTAATTCGTAGAAATTAATTCTTTATCGTGCTTTCGTTCTGCGTCAATTAGTATTTAATGGAATAAAATTTCTGGTAAAAAAAAATATAGTATAATTATGGTCAACGTTCAGCCGAGGGCGTAAAAAATGGATAATTTCTTTTTAGGAAAATAAAAAAGTCATCGTCGGTCAACTCCGAAAAATGGCAGCATAAAAAAAAACAGATCAACGCCGGTAACTGGCGGCGATAAAAAAAGAAAAAAAAAACGTTAACGCCGGAAACCGGCGGCAAAAACAAAATCAAAATTAGATTTTTGTGGTCAAAATTGATGAAAATGAAGTTAATTTGAGGTTAAAATTATGAATTGGGAGGGTTGGGGGTAATTTCGTCCTATATATTAATTGTCTTAATTTATAATACTTATTAAAGGGATGAGCTTATTGGACAAAGAGATATAACCCCTAAACCTAGAATAATAAAGTTGGTTGGTCATGAACTTATGCAAAAATCCCTAAAAATTACTTGTAAAAATAAGTAACAAGTTATGAGCTAACTCTTAGAACATCTTATCAAACGTAATAGTTTATCCGCTATTTAAAATCAGCTTAACCAAACGGGCCCTAAATACTTTTAAGTATACTAAAACGGGACCTTGTAGCATGCATGAGATACTAGAACATAACTCACATGAGATATATCTCTAAAATTGCGCGACGCGTCCTTAGAACAAACATGATTTTTTTGTAATTTGTGTATTTGTCCTAATTCCAAAACAACCTTATAACAAATATTTAATATTAAAATATATATATAATAATCTGATGCAAAATATGTTTTGTACCCCTTATATTTTTATAACGGAAATGCTATTCGCCGTTACGTTTTTGCTATTCGCGGTTCATAAAAAAAACTATCTCTCTCTCTAAACCTACAAAAACTCAAAAACCGCAAATAGCAAAAAAAAAAAAATACAAAATTTCGAAATCTCGAATTCAAGCTCGAATAGCCATTGGGCTTTGATTTTTTGAGGTAATTTCGACTAATTTCCGTAAAATATGCATTGCCCATGTCGTTTACGCAACCAATTTTATGTTTAAAGCCCATACGAATCGAATTGTAGGGGCTTTTTTTTTCGGAAATTACAAACTGCACGCCCAAGTTCGGCGTTGGATGGAGCAACAAACGCCTGGTTTGGGTGTGAACCGGACGAGTGAACGCCCGGTCCAGGCGTTCACTCGCCCGGTTCACGCCCAAACCGGGCGTTCGAATTATTTTTTTATTTTTTTTTGGTTAATTCAATTTTATTAATATAATTAATTTAAAATATGTTTTATGTTTGTAGGATGTCTAACTGGATGAAAAAATTGGGAATGGGAAAAGGAAAGGGTCCCCTGACTCGTCCTCCTGCAAATCTGGTGGAGGAGAGTACTGCGGAACGGGAGGGCAGAACGCACAACCGTAATGTTACCAGTTCTAAACGTCGTGGGGAACGGACTGGTGCTTTTGTACAACCACGTATGACAATTGAGGAGGAGGAGGAGACAGAGGCAGAGCCCGAGCAGGAGATGGATACATATATGGATCCCCACGAGGACGAGTACGATCCAGGACTACGTTTTCAGCAGAAGTATCAGTTCCCGGTGCCTGATTTGCCATCCGATGATGATGACGAGTACGGTTTGACTCCGCCTCCGCCTCCGGCTTATACAATGGCTGGTACTTCCGGTGGTTCTACTCCTGCCCCAAACCCGAGGTCCCGGCCCGGTCCGAAAAAAACTCTTCCTACTCGACCGTGGAAGTTGATTGGTGAGACACCCGGTGGACCAAAATACCCTCATTTGATTCCGAGTTTTGGAGCCCATATTGCCTACGACATCTGGGAGGGAAAGGTAATACTCATTAATTTTAATAAATTTTGTTTAAAATGTTTATAGTTGATTTTTCTATTCTTAAATATCAATATATCTTCAATAGGGCCGACATATGCTGAAGTTGCGGTCTCATGCGAAGTCTACTTGGCCGGGCACCGCCGACTATTATAGTGTTTCACTACTGGAGAGTACCGGGTTGTATCACTTGCGCTATTGTTCGCTCCCTCAACACAATAACCCGTTGATAGATGCTTTCATATGCCGTTTGGAGAGATGACAATTACTCTCCACGATGTGCACTATATCATGCATTTGCGAGTTAGTGGAAAGCGCCCTAACGTTGGGATTGATAAGGCAGATGCGATTTATGCAGGTGCGAGAGCGTTCGATGTCGAGCCCCGAGATATGGCGAAGTGGTATGGCGGCGGATCCCGGTTAGATGATTTGGATAGGATGTATGGCGACGATTCTTCATTTGCCTCCTAGTTTCGGGTACGAGCATATATTGCGTACTTGCTTGGAAAGCTATTGTTTGTCGATAAGAGTGGATCGAAGGTGAAAGCAGATTTTTTCCCACTTTTAGAGCAGATCGATATGATTTCCGACTATTCCTGGGGTTCGGCTACATTGGCCTATTTGTATCGACAATTGGGCATGGTTACGCGAGCTGAGGCGGCGCAGATGGGTGATTTTCTGACACTGTTAGAGGTAATTTTTTATTTGTAGTAACCCCTCAATTTTTTCTTTTATTAATATCTCCAAAATGTTATGTTTAATATGCCGTATCATTATTTTTATAGTGTTGAATATATGAGTATTTTTTCCGTGTTTCCGGCCTCTGATGGTTAACGCACATGTGAATGGAGAGCCCTGGTGTAAGAGGTGGCAGGTGATACATCATATCCCTAAAGACGAGGATATACTTGTTGATTATCGTCGACGTCTTGATTTTATGCGTGCGTCAGATGTAAGTATCAAGTTTAAATAAATTAAGATTTATATATTTACTATGTTTATTTATACACTTCTATTATTAATACATACGCACAGGTGAATTGGACGCCATTTGGAGTGAATGTGTCACGTGAAGTTGAAAAGACGGTTCATCACGGGACTTTTCGATGGATGGATACGGTCGAGCCTTACATGCCCGATAGAATTTTGCGTCAGTTCGGATTTCGGCAGATTAAACCATCGGACCCTATTCGTCCGCTAAAAGGTGCTAAGAGGGAGAGAAAATTAGCATCTTACAAAATTAGCTACGAGCCTGACGATCAGATGTGGAATATCTCTCACACGCACATGCTTAGTGAAGATTATTATGGTCATTGGGCGCGTCCGGCTTGGGAGTCGACACCGGAGTATTTGCTGTGGTATCTCGACCACACTCACGTCCGTATACATCCTAGTACCGAGCCGGTTGAGAGAGCGGAGCCATCTGCAGTTCCGTTTGTGTACGACATCACCCAGGTGTTGCATCCCTACTTCTACGATAACTTGCCACCGCCGACTATTCCAGGATTTCGACAGATTCCCGATGACTTTTTCAGGACGATCCAGGACATGTGCGCCCCATTCGCCGAGTATCTACAGTTGGATCGTCCTAATGCTTCTGACGAACAAGACGCAGGATACTCACATATGCGACATTCTCAGCGCAGGCGTCGGACGAGAGATATGTTGGTGTTTATTTTTTATGTTTTTATTATTCGAACTTCTTTGTGGTTGATGTTTTTGCTTTGATTTTCAAACATGGACCGAAAGCT